ACCTGGGCAGAACCTGGCTGGAGATCCTGGATAGAACCAGGCAAGAGAACCCAAATATCCTGATGAACTGAACGCTGCCTCTGTGCCATTCATTCCTTCTTCGCTGACTCCGTCCACACCTTTGGGGACCCCTGGACCTGCTGGGGTTGGACCCCAGCACTACATCACCTTCTTGGATTCTTATTACCCAAGTTACTAAGAATATTACCAGTGGCATATAGGGAGCTTAGCCAATGAGCAGTCAGAAAAGATGTTTCCTCTGTAGTTCACACTGATCCCCGGCTCAGCCCTTGCCCAGGCCTAAGGCCTCTGGCAGGAGCGTTAGGCCTGGGCAGGGGACCCCCGGCCCCAGGCGATTGTCGGCTCCTCCCCTTCCCAGGCCTCAGGCCTCTGTCCGGGCATTAGGTCTGGGCAGGTGACCCCAGCCCGCTCCGATGGCCTGCTCTGCCCCTACCCAGGCCTAAGGCCTCTGGCTGGGGACTCCCAGCCTGCTCAGATAGCAGGCTCCGCCCCTGCCCAGGCCAGAGGGGCGTTAGGCCTTGGCAGGGGACCCCAGCCTGCTCCAATCGCCTACCCAAGCCTCAGGCCTCTGGCTGGGGCATTAGGCCTGGGCAGGGGACCCCCAGCCCACTCCAATCGCCTACCCAGGCCTCAGGCCTCTGGTTGGGGCAGGGGACCCCCCAGCCCACTCTGATTGCAGGCTCTGCCCCTGCCCAGGCCTCAGGCCTCTGGCCAGGGCATTAGGCCTAAACAGGGGACCCCCAGCCCACTCTTATCACAGGCTCCGCTCATACTCAAGCCTCTAGCCAGGGCATTATGCCTGGGCAGGGACCCCCAGCCCCTGGCAATTGCCGGCTCCGCCCCTTCCCAGGCCTCAGGCCTCTGGCCGAGGCGTTAGGCCTGGGCAGGGGACCCCCAGCCCTGTGTGACCGCCGGCTCCGTCCCTACCCAGGCCTCAGGCTTCTGGCTGGGGCGATCACTGCTCTGCCTTCCTGGGTGGCATCTGGTGCTGCCTGCCCCGCCTTCCTGGTGGTCCCCAATCTGCAGCCAGGATTCCAAGGGCAGCATCTGGCGCTGCCTGCCCCACCTGAAGTATGCAAATTTAACGGCCATCTTTGTTGGGTTAATTTGCATACTCTTCTGATTGGCTGGCTGGCATAGCGAAGGTACGGTCAATTAGCATATTTGTCTTTTACTGATTCCTGCAAGAATAGGGCTTCCTGAAGCTGGAATGAAGCAGAGAAGGGAGCGAAGTTCACCAAGGCGAGCTTCACTCCCTTCTCCGCCGCTTTGCTCCTTTCTGTAGCACTTCACTCCCTTCTATGCTGTCTCCAGTCTTTGTTCCAAGCCTGTGTATGCAAATTAACCAACATCTTTGTTGGGTTTTTTTGCATACTTTGATTAGTTGGTGGGCGGAACAGAGGGATGGTCATTTTGCATGTTTCTCTTTTATTAGTGTAGATAGTTTACTAAAATTCTGTGGTACACACAAAAATATGTTTTGCTGATCTGAAAAAAGGTGTTTTGATTCATTCACACCAGAGGGCTATTGTGTTGGCTGTCAGTTTTTTACAATCTAAGGGAAAAGAGGTAAGTGCCTGACTAGCCAGGTATTGCATGTTTTGTATTTGAATAACACATCTTGCTTTCTCCTCCTTCAGATGTTTGCTAATTTCAGCAAGGCCTTCCCTGGCTACGGCTACTTAAAATTGCCACAGTCCCTCTTGCCAACACTATGCCTGTGCCCTTTCATTTTTTCTATAAGAACTTTTTATGCAACTCTGCTGCTCAGTAAATATTTGGTGGATGACTTTTTTGGAGCAGAGCTCTGAGGGAGAGATCCATATAGAAAACCCAGGTGCCAGAAGCCGGTGCATCCTTGCTGCTTGACACAGTCGCTGCAGGGAAGAAACATCTGCACAGCATATGTTTCAAGGGACCTGGCATATATGGCATACTGTTCTTAATATCTTTGCTCCCCTTCTTAGCGC